TTGCACCTGTGGTATTGAAGGATTCCCTAAGATGATGTGTTGCATCACATGATTCTGGGGCAGGATAGAAGTTCAGAGAAGCCACCTTCCCTCACTAGTGGAATTACAGTTCCTATATATGCATTTATTCATTTGAATAACCTTGAATATGTTATGAATTGTTCTATGGAATCCAGAGTTATACAATGATCATGATTTTGAAGTAGAGGTATGCATTTTTCACACCACAGCTTGCTTTACACCAAGGGAAACACTCTGAGATTTCTTTTTCTTTTTTGCTGTTTTTGTTAGCAGTGGTTCTCTAAGTTTCATTGTGTCCCTTTTGAGTCTCACTCCCTTTCAAAACTACTTCACCTAGAAGTCAGATCTACCATCATGGACATAGGAACTGTCACTCAGGATCTGTATTACAAAAGCATAAATCAATGAAAGTTGCTTTCCATTTTGAGAAGTCAGTGGCCCCATCCTGCTGATCCAATGCTTATAATTCCATGTATCAAAAACAGGTTAAATACTGGGGTCATCATGGTAGTATTATGCCGGTTCACATTAATTTATATCAAGGATTTTCAGAAATGATGTTTACATATGATGACAGGGGATTAGGATGAAACCTCCTTACTCAGTTTGTTAGTTTCCTAAGGTGTTATGTGAAATATTTGTAATCGTGTTTTATATTCATCTTCACTAGCTGTGATATCCCTGCTTTCAATCATGCGTATATACATAGGAAAGAGATAGATATTTATAAATTGTAATTGTAATATATCCCTTCAAATATCATGAATTTCATGGGTGAATTTTAATTTTCATTCTTAAGATTTGAATTCACCATGTTTTTGCCAGAAGACTAAAAGAAGAAAAACAGCCAATTGCATTGATGCACACTTGTAAGCCCAGCAACTCAGGAGGAGGAGGCTGGAGGATGTCAAGTCCACAGCCAGCCTCAGCAAGTTGTCAAGGCTCTAAGTAATTTAGTGAGAGCTTGTATCAAAATTTAAAAAAAAAATTTTTACAAGGGCTGGGTATATGACTCAGTGGTTATGCACACCAAAGTTCAATCTTTGGTATCTCAAAACAAAAAGTAAATAGTGCTGGGAATGTAGCTTCATGGTATGGTATTCCTGAGTTCAATCCCAGTGCAAAAGAAAATAAAAATGAAAAACCAATTTGCAAAAAACCAACCAAACAAACAAATAATTCCCCTCACACAAAACAACAAAAAATTAAATGTGACTGTGTTTGCAGATTTTCATATACCTGGTTATTGTCATAAACCTGTTGATTATAGCGCAATTTACAAAAAGACACCAACAAAGATTGACAAGATTTTCATAATATGAAGAATTTAACCCACTAGAAAATAGGACAGCAACAATTTCATTTGTTTTCTTTGAAGAGATGAACACAACCTCTACACTGACCTATAATAGTGCCTCTGATGTTAAAGAGCAAAAGCCCTACCCTGTCATTGCATAGTCTTCTTTCTCATTCTCAAAAGATCACTCTCCTTTCCCAGTTTCTGCCAATCACAATTCTCTAGTGCACTGAACCCACCTCCCAAACCTCATCCGCTTTCTTATCACTGCTCAAGTTATTACATTCTTACTCATTTCAACACAACTCATCAAGCTAATGTGGTCTTTGCTACACCATTTCCCACATTTGTCCTCCAGCCCCTGTAGCAGGGGAACGCTTGTATGTGTCTCTTCTTCAACTACATCTGAGAACCCTTGACTGTGGTGCCAATCCCTACCTATATTCAGAATCACTACTCCTATTGGCTTTCAAAGTATGTTGAATCTGATGTTTTTCTTAATAAGCCATTATTTCATGATCCAGAGTCATTTTTCTTCTCCAAATCTGTGGAAACTCACCTTCTAGTTTCATCCACATCTTCAAAAGATTGGAATGCCTGCTACTAAGAATATTGTAATAGTTTACCAATTTTAAATGGGCTATTGGCTTCCATAACAACAAGACAGACAGAGAAATCACAGGGTGATTTTAAAAGCAAACTGATTTTCTCATGATTCTGGGGACGAGGAGTGTGAGATCAACATGTCTGCAGGGCCTGTTTCTTCTGAGACCTGTGTTCCTGCCTTGTACAGGCTGGCTGCCTGTGTCTCTGCATGGTCTCCCTGCTCCCATCTCTTCCCCAAACTCTTCCTATTGTCAGGGTACTGATACACCAAGTTACCTCAATTGAATTTTCCTCTTTTAATACCATAATCCA